TAAAATACACGCTACCCCTTTTCGGGACACTGACACTAGTAGAATGGAAAATAATGGAATTCTGTTCAGTTAAAATTTATACGAAGGAATGCAAAAAGCTATTGCTAGCTAGTAGGTACAAAGTTAAATGTTACGCAGTCGTATAGAACACAATATTATTTTGGGAATTTATGTCGTCAAAAATGCAACGAATCTCGACCTGATTGTAACTTCTAGGAAAATAAAATATGAACATACCTACTCCAATATAGTGTTCGAAAATTCATATTCTTGTACATAATATAGTTATTCGAATAGGAGGGTTAAGAGCGCAGCTGCGTCGTCGGACCTCTTTGGTTTAACAAAGCTCGTGAAGTCCCAAGTCTGTTGCCATTGCTATTGTATCAAAGTGACTTGAGAGTGCCAAGTCCGCATTTTACTTGTGGAGTTTGCTTAAGCCTAGTTTAAAACAGAAGGTTTATTTTTTCATTCACCGTTCCTATACGTCCAAAGAATAATATATCACGGGACACACGAATATAAGTTAAATACATAACATATTTTTTAGTAATAATTTACGCTGTATTTTTAAATTTACATCAGACCGAACAATGGGGATGATGACAGGGTATGAAAATTAAAAATATAATTAGTCCGTAACTTAGGTAATAAAAAAATATTAGACACGTACTTTTTTATTTTGTTGTATAATAAAACAATACTTAGATAAAACGAATCAAAGTTTAGGAGTGGGGGCTAAAACGTCGTAGTATAAAATGTACTGAGAAGTGACGTCACGCGACATTTCAAATCAATATATCTTCGAAACTATTCATTTCCGTAAGAAAATAAAAAATACGTGTCTAATGTTTTTAAATAATCTACCAGACGGACATTAAAATAAAAATTAGTCGTCTACCCCATTCCATTTAATCCCAATGGTAACTAAAAACAAAGGCAAATCATAATGACTGTTCGCGGGAACTCTGTAATCTCATTGACGTGGGCCATTTGGTATATTGAGTGAGAAATTATATTAAACTGGAGTTATGGGGAGTTGGTGCTGGGTGTTGTTACACTTACTCTGTTTGATCTGTAAGCTGATTGCTTTACTCAAGTGCATTAGTCCTGCAGCCGAGCTTCATTAAAGGGATGGGGTAGCTCTAAACTACCCGCTTATTAAGCTTAGGTGTATGTATATATCCTAGAACCAATTTGTGTTGTGTCTACTTTGTTAGTTAACACTTTAACTTGTAACACTTTTTGCTTTTAGTGGCGGCAGTTTATTCACGAGGCGATAGCCGCGTGAGATAGGCATTTTAGTTGTATAATAATATGTTTTTTACAATTATTTTTTCAATGGTTTGCCGAGTGGGGAGTACCTAAATTTAAATCAGTGTGTATTTTGTGTTATACAAGAATCACATGAGCTAAGTGCTAGAAAGTAATATTTTTCATCTTCCATGCACCTTATCCGTAACGCGTGTATACGTAAAATTTAGATTTATCTAATAAAGATGTATTAAATAGCAGGATGCTGTCAAATACAATGTTATTTCCTACTTAGGAGGAAAGGTAAATTGTAAACTGCGTACGTAACAGCCTTTGTATTTTCTCTCTGTTATCCATTTATCATAAACAGACACCGCCCAGTTGCGGCCCCGATTTGTTTCAATTCGATTTCTATAATTGCTTTCTTGCCTTATAACAAACGGTCCGTATAATTTAACATAGCTATAGATTAAATATGAAGGTTGCTACGTACCGAGTCTATTTTTCAAACCGCCTTTGTAAAAGAGCGAGTCTTTGAATTTATAATAATATTATTCCGATTCCACAATTATATTACAAGTACTGTCGATATTTCAACTTTGTTATGAAGGCTACGTTTGGTCTTGTGGTGGATACTCGAAAGTTAGAATTTCCTGGAATTAATATCTAATTCTTCATTATCATCATCATCTATAAGTGCCCACTGCTGACCAAAGACATCTTCTCGCACGGGCGAGAAGAGCTCTTTATATTTTGGTAATTTCTTTGGTGGTTAATTGTCAAACCTTCTACGGAGAAGGTTTGAGAATTAATCACGCTTCATCACGCTTGCACAATGCGGGTTGATGATTTAAAACTTATACTTATTTATAAATCGTAAGCCCAGGTTTCCTCGCGATGTTTTCCTTCACCGTTTGTCAGTGGTGTCTAAGATAATCTGAGAAAGTACATATAACTCAGAAAAGGTCACATTAGTATTTGCCGTTGGTAGGTTTCGAACCCACACTCTCATCCATGAGAAGTGGTCTTAAACCCCTAGGCCACCACGACTCTGATTCTTACTGATTTTCAATTCAACGATATTCATACTGTCAATATTATTATTGACAGTATGAACACCTAATCATCCCTTTCTGCAGCCTCGAGTAACGAAAAAGGTGGGATAAATATCTGAATTGAGTACTTTAAATACTCAACAATATTTTATACAAAGTTCCTTTTTAGTATCTTGTCGTTCTATATAGTTATTTAACCAATAAAGTTGAAATTCTCGCCTGTGACGGACCCTACAACACAGTGAAGTGGCACCTTTGTATCATTACACTCGTCGTAGTACTATATTTCACATTCTAAAACCGTGCACAAAGACTGGCTTCCGAACACGTTATTTCGAACGATTTTTCAATTTCACTCATTCGCCTTCGTGAAGAGACGTCGAAGTGGAAACTTATGTCGCATTTATCTGTCTCTTCCTCTTCGGACGTTTGAATAAAATCATTTTATATTGCAGAAGTTGCTAAGCCAATATAAAAGTCGTTATATTTGTTTTCAATTTAATCTTCTTACGCATTTATTCTTCTAAGTAAGACATTATAGACGATAGATTCGTCTATAATGTCTTTAATATATCTTGCATATTTACATCAACAGCCTATGACGGATCGCTGCTGGACTATGCATCCTCTACAAAAGACAATTGAATAAAAAGGTTTATTAGAGAACAATACTACCCTGATGGTGTCATTGTCATCATCACATCAACAATATAAGTGGCCACTGCTGACCTGGCCTCTTCTCGCACGTAGAAGATTTGAGGATTAATCACCATATTTCTTCAATGTGGTTTGGCGGTCACAAACTTATAATTAGACATTATATGGCCAGGTTTTCTCACGATGATTTCAGTGGTGTCTAAATAATCTTAGAAACTACATATAAATCGGATAAGCCACATTGATACTTGCTGTTGCTACTCGACCTTTATTAAATAATATGAAATCAGTTCGTACAACAATCTCGACAAGAATAGGGGTGGATGACAAACGAATTCTTGTCTACTGTCACCACAACTTTATAAATAGCTTACAATACTTTATAATTACGTAAACATACAAGGCTAATACATTAAATTAATCTTTGTACACAAAACGGATAATAACTGTAATGTAAAATACATTCCATTGTTTAATATTTATGTGGTCTGTTGTCGCAAAGGCTACCAATGAAAAGCAATGGATAAACGTAATTACAGCGTCCCGGCTTAGTTGCACAACACTTAGCTGTATCTAGCCAATAAGTATTCAATGCAGAATTATCGGTATATATCGGCATATCGGTCTAATGTTGCGAGTGTACATGGGCACGGGTAGTGCAAATGGCTTACCATCAGGTGATTCATCTGCTCGTTTACCCCGATACCATATAAAAAAAGATGCATATATTCACCGAAATTATGTCTAACCACCATATGATAAACTAATCACCTCATTTACGTAAAATCATCCATCAATTGACTTGATTGTTTTTGTTCCAAACGTAACTACATGAATTTATCACTAGAAAATTACCCTAAACTAAGTTTCGATATCACATACGGAGGAAAAGAAGGACAGTCACCAAAAACGAAACAACAAAATTGACGTCACAGCTTAGTTGATCCCAAGTGTGGCAATAAACGGTAAAGAAAAACAAGTAAACTGAAAACTCAACCTACGCTATTTTTAATCTACACCCAGTGTCTGTGAATTGCTCAGTTAATGAGAGAACAACATTTATTTTGCATCATAAATCCAACACTATAAAAGTAACCGAATATTCGGAAGAACTTAAAATTGCGATTACGAAGAGGCATTCAGATGTGAAAGCGAAATAATTATAATAAAATTGTTATTCACAAGTGTACGTAAACAATTGCATTCTGCGGATATATTCCAGTGTTCTGACTGTCGGACGCTTGTGTTGCCCGCTGCTAGTGTAGCCGCACCGCGGGGCCGCGTGCCGTGCGGTGCATTTCACCGAAGTCAGCGAGTTTACGGCATGCATTCACCCGCCGTCACTAAGGCCGAACTGCGATTGTTTAAACCTTGTTCACTTCAATTTTCCTAACGAATTGTTTAGTCTGTTACTCATTTCAAGTTCACGCTTCTGGCGCTGAAAAGTTTTCCTGTTTCCATTTGGAGTACCATGTTATTATATGCTAGCTTTGTAACGTATATGAGTACGTTTTAGAAATATGTGAGCTCGTGTATTTAAGCTCTATTTCAACATAATTACAAAGTTGAGATGATTTAAAATAATTATAAAATGTTCATTCCAGCGGTTCTTTTCATTTAATAAATTGCTTTTCATGGAAATACATTTAAATTAGAGAAAATGGGAACATCTATACGTAAGCATGTGTATACCAGGTTTTATACATTCCGCATGCAATCGGGTACTTTTGAAATGTCGAGAGGTCTATTGAATATTGAAAGAGTAATTGATACTTGAAGAACGCTGCGGCGGGGCTCTCTCATTTGATACAAGTTGGTTATTTTATAAGTACCTACTGGCTCTTTGTAGGGTACGCTCCATTGGCTAGTTCTAGGCAATTACGGTTAAAAAACTTACGTAGGCAACTCTATTACTTTGTAATATAGGTATCTCACATTTAATATGTAAATTATGAACCCTATGAATAGTCTGAGCACCAAATTAGAAATAATAATTATGAATAAATCGATTAATACTAAAAATATCTACACAAAGATGTTCTTATATTTATTTTTATTATAAATTGTATACAATATAAAAAATTTCGTCCTCGGCCTCGTAATCGGGTTTACCTGTAAGCAAAAAAATATTATTTAGAAAGTAGGTACTTAAGTAACCAACACTTCTATCGAACAAGAACCTATTGAAAACAATAAATAACAACACATTTCAGATGAATGATGGTTGTATTCGAAGAATTTATTAGCCGAATTTAAATTAAAATGTGTTCAAATGCGATTAAGTTTAATAACAATATTCTGGTTATCATGTTCAGGTACTAAACTTGTGGTTAGAATACTAGAATTGTGGCGGTCAGCTGTATACATCTGAGCTGCCCGTGGCGTCGCTTTCTCTTTCAATGTTGACAAGCATCTGTAAACACGCGGCACAGGCGTGCGACTCACACTATTTATTTACAACACACGATATACGAGCGCGGCTCACTGTTGGGACTCGGGATACTCTGCCAGTGCTACAGTAATGTACTGTTAGCCCAAAGAGAAGTGATTAGAACATTAAAAAAAGATATGCGACATAAAATTAAAAAAATACACTACATCTTGTGTTCTTTTTAGGATCTTAAGAAAAAAAAAATAAAAGAAAAAAAAATTTGTTAGTCATTTTTATTTATGAGCCCAATTAATGAGCGCGCGCGGTGCTCAATGTTTATAGCATGGCAAGTGGGAAATCGTCTCGGTGGTGTGTGTGGATGGTCGGCGTAACGCTGGCGGGCCCCAACGAGGCGGCGGGCGGCGACGATCGATAGGGCGGGCGCGGCGCTGCAGTCGGCATACACCGCCGCCTGACGCCTGCCGTCCTAGCCTTCCGACACTTTAGCGACCGCTCGCGTCGCGATAACTCGCGACGATGCGCGGCGACCGCGCCGCGCGCGACACGCGCCACAATAAAGATCACGAAAACTTAAAATCATCACTGAAAAAGGGCACCAAATCTAAAAAGCACCGAGTTATATTTGATGAGAGCGCTAACGAATTTTTTGAAGCGGATTACATTATCGTGGTGCGCGATGAATGTGGATACTCTGATGAGGGTGAAGGCGAAGAATGCTCGGGTTGTGGCGCGTGCGAGCGGTACCAGGAGCCGGAGCCGGGTGCGCTCAGTCCACCAGAAGGCTACAAAGACATGGGCCTCTTCAATCGCGATGGCACTTTGCGCGAGCAAGCCTGGTGGGAAGCCGGCGATGTGCTGCTGGTGGGTGAACGCTCGGGCACGGTGTTCACGCCGCAGCACCTGCAGCTGCTGCGGCGGCTCCAGCGCGAGAGGATGCTGCGCTCTACCATCTGTGCTGACTGTGACGCGCACGCCGCTCTGCACCAGCCTCTAGGTGAGTCATCCTGCCTTGTCCTTGCCAAGGACGAATAGCTCCAGTCGGCCTTGTTTCGCTGACATCTCAAGTTTCACGTCTTACGACGCTGAGCGACGACACAGTTCTTCATATTTACCGCTCTTGTACACGTTCTGCCATCATGACCGATAAACAAGTGAAACCTTACGACTCTCAACGTTTCCAGCGTTCAATAGTTGCTATTTTATTTATCTTTTTACTTCTCATTATCATTTTAGACGTGTACAATTGTCAAGTTAGTAATAACAGAAAAATAAATAAGACGTACCTATTTTGTCACTTGTAGTGTATTTTTCTAAACTTGCGATTGCCTAAGTTGTTCTGCCGAGCGAAATGACATTGTCAATTTAGTGATTATGATGATAGAACCGCTATCATTTTAATTACATGTAGCAGTAGCGAACTGGGTACTTGTTATATAACAATGAAGCGCTTAAACTGAATTGACAACAATTTAGATCGTTATTAGAACAAGTGACGTAACTGGTGTCAGGTTTCAAAACAACCGGGGCCCTATTGTGCTCACCGAAAGCAAGAGCACTCATTGCTTCGCTTTTTTAAACAAGAACGTTTTTGCGGTCGAGCTAAGACGCTCAGAGGTACCTATCCACCAAAACTGTATTGATTACTCACAAAGTCACCGCTTGACAATCAGCCGACAATAAAAACATAAAATGTCGTTCAACTGCCAAAAACAGCTCGCGATAGTAGAAAACAATTTCATACTCTGTTAGGTCTGAGGTAGTTGGCCTGATAATACGTTTAATCAATGACTCCAAATGGCCCTGAAATAAATTACACACATATTTTTTGCGTATTATATAAAAAATACGGGAATCTCAGATAAGAAGAACGGATATACATAAATTCGTTTGGTTTTCTTACTTAGAGTCTTCTAAGATTAGCTATTATTAGAATAAAAGTAAGTTACTTTTCCGAACGCTAAACGTTACACGAATTGAAACACGGATTAATGTGAAACTGCTAAAGAATATTATGCGGAAATACGTATCAATAAACTACATAATTATTATTTAAATCACACACTAGTTTCATAACTTAATTATGAGGTATTACAAATTCTCACGCCACATAACACAAGATAAAAAAATACTTCATAGGCTACATAAATATTATTCAGTCATGAAACAGTTAATAACTGAGTCTATAAGAATATCTGAAATTCCATCACGAACTACGTACTTATTGCTAGAGTTGAAGAGCTAATGCATTTCTAGGTTTAGGCAGAATCGAAGTCCTTGAAGTTAATTTAGAAGTCTTCAAGTAAACAGTAGGGTTTTAGAGTACCTAGTTGTCGCTAAACCTTTGTCTTCCTATCTAAATATGTACGTGATTCAGGCCTAGGTACCTCGTGTAGGCGTCCTCTACTTCTTTATGCTATACCTGCTCAGTTTGTTTAGCAACTTTTTATGCATAGTGAACTCCAAAGGACTGTGTTCATTATGCGACACATACCGCAGCTCATAATGAATAGGGTAACATTCTCGGCTTAGGAACAAAATATAACACTTAGACCAACTTCAAACTAAGTACTGTTGAAAAATATTTCAGCTGTTTCTTAGTATTAATCAGACAATATTAAAAGTAACGTCAGACGTCTAATTCTACCACCCTTATAAATATGAACACTTCAAAACATCCATCATATTAATAATTTTATTGTTTCTAAAACTATGAATTGTTTAGTAACCATGGAGGTGGCAAATTGCAATAACTTCCTGTTCATACCTTACACCAAAGTCATGAAGTTTACTTACTACATTATCCGACAAGCAACAAGGACAAATTTTAATGTTACACTCAAAATACTCCTACTTTCTATCGAAGTTATAGAAAACTTACGTCAATTTTCACCACCCACCCCTAAACTGTCTCTTAAGAAAGAGTTACTTGGCATGAAGGGACACTTAAACCAGCCCACGTGAAGTGCCACCTACCTATTTTAGCTCAAGGCTTCCTTAAAATTGAATAGATTTTGGTTTAAACGGGCATTAGATTAAGAAATCTATTTTAAATCAATAATGAGACAAAATATCAGGTCACAGGTATCCCGGAATGTAGAGGAATAAAGCGTGTCAAAATAAAGCTAGCTTCGCACAATATACCTTACACGGTTAAAAAGGATCTGAGCAATCGGATGACCGGCGCTATCAATAGAAGAGCACTTGACTAAATAATTGGTTCAGACATTGGGTGTCCTGTGCATAGAGTCGGCGATAAACGCTAGGTCTCCAGTAACACGTACAACCAATCTATTGCAATTACTTTTAGTTGCTTGCACTACCCCTGGTCGCTAGTGTTATTCAATAAAGTCTCAATTTAAATTCACCAAGATGTTTGTAAATGTTTGTCAGAATTGTTTTATAAATATTACGATCACAACCGCGGACGGTAACTGTACACGAAATATCTCGCTCTTCATATTTGGAATAACTTTTGCATGTTAATAAAACTTCGCCGTCGAAGTACTCTTCATTCAAATAATTATACATTGCATACTCATCTTCATCACTTCAATATAGTACAATATTCACAGGAACAGACACATTTCGATTTGTAACAAACTGGATACATACGAAATTGGATTAGTGTAGATTTAATTAAACACACAGATAAACCATTGATGCTTTATTACGACTAGAATGACACGTCCTTAATTTCAATAAATCAGAACTAATTAGTAACCTCTAATAAGTCTATTAATGCATTCCGATCGCGCGAACGTTTGGATTTGACTAGACCACAAATGGTTAAAATAACATACCTTAATTCAGGTCGAGTTCAATATGAAAATTATAATTAAAATTTAACTACGATGTTAACATAAATTGGGACGTGTCGGCGAAAATAATATTTGATTAATTCGCTGTGTTATTACCTACAGAATTTTAACTCAATCATGAGTATTGCCACAGTAATGACATATATTTTACAGAAACATTGACCGATAAGTACATGTTATATAGATAGGTACAATACATGACAATTACCTAAATAAACGAGAGTAATAGTCCTCGACTCCTTTCTAGAACGTAATGCATTATTACAAAAGTTTTCTAAGATGTCGTAGGCGGAGGTGTAGTAGGAGCACTCCCACTTATTACGAAGTATCTGTTATTACAATCATATTAGTTACATTTGCCAGGAAGCCACTGTGCAGGCACCCGCACACCACTATCACAGTATACCGTTGCGTATATAAATGTGGGAGAGCTATGTTCAGGCACGAATGGGTTGGCTCGACCGGAGTGATACCACGGCCTCACAGAGAACCGACGTGAAACAACGCTTGCGTTGTGTTTCTTTGTGTGAGTGTGGTTACCAGAGGCCCAATTACCCTCCCCCTCCCCTTCCCCAATCTCCCTAATCCATGAATCCCCAACGATCCTCAAACTCCTAATCCCCAAAGGGCCGGTAACGCACTTGTAACGCCTCTGGTGTTCCAGGTGTCTATGGGCGACGCCGATTGCTTATCATCAGGTGATCCGGCTGCTCGTTTACTGGTTTATGTCATAAAAAAATACCGGCTGCGGCCACATAAACCTACAATTTGAACAAATCCTAAAATAATTTTCTTTCGAACGGAAAATAAAAAATTCCAATTTCGTCCTATTTGTATACGAGATTGTTAATTGGTTTTAGGAAAAACCACGACGAATGGGATGTGCTAATACATCCCATTCGTCAGTGTTTCAGAACATTCTATATCCATACGGAACAAATATTTGCACGTTCGACAGGTAGTTGTTCCGGTACAGGGATGCTGACTATACAGATTAGATTTTACATCGCACTAACAACATTCTAATAATACCATAGTGCACCATGCGAATTCATTGTTGACATACATAACATAACGCCTTTTATTCCCAAAAGGGTAGGCAGTGGTGCGCACTATCTGCGGCACTTAATACCACTGTACAATGTAACACTTACTTTTCACTATTTAGGTTATGAGTCCCATGTAATAGGGGGTGAGCCTATTGCTATATACCGGGCACAATTCCAGAGTCCGTGCTACCACTATTTTTTTTAAAACTCAGTAATACTTTGCCCGTCCCGGGAATCGAACCCGAGACCCCTTGCCCGGCAGTCACAATGACGACCACTCGGTCAACGACGCAGTCGTAAACATTGTTAAGGAGTTTAAAAAATGCGATTACCCTATACGAAACAACGAATAGACGAATCTATTGCTCGGCTCTTATTTTCAACCTTTGTGGTTAAGCGAGAAAAGCTTGTTAAACATATACGTATAACCCGATCCTAAGACGCAAAGAGCATTCTTTCTAGGGCATAAGATCCCTAGCCCCTAAGAATCTCAATCGTCCAACTCAACGAGCGTCTTCTTTACGATAAAACAACTGGAAAAGCAAAAGCCAGAGAATCCTATTATATTTATTTTAAACCGGAATTGTATTTGCACAAATAATAAAAGTTTTGCTGTCGACATCCCTTTTATATCTATAAATAAATTTAATCAAGCAAAGAAAACCTGCATTGTCGTTTGTAGTCGCATCATTACTTAGCATAAAGTTTCTTCTAAGTTTATATTTCAAGGAGTCTTCAGAGTTGTAGACCGGATTTCTTTTAAGGTTATTACAGGCTTTCTGATGTACGAGATTATTAATATAATTGAAAGAAAACACAGGTAACTACATTAGAATGTACGATGTAAATGACCGTAGGAAAACAATAATAATTTCAGAAAGTTATACATCAACCGAAGAACATTACGTATGTAAGTGGGACACTGCACTACTTTTGACCAGGCAAATAATTTCTGTAACGAACATTTAATTAATACGTTTTCACAGTACGCTAGTGCTGTTTATGGTGAAAGCATATATACTTTAGAAAACGTTTGCAACTATAAACACATTTCAGCAATGTATTTAATAGAATTATTTATATAAATAAGACTTCACTTTTCAATGGTCGGGACATCAATCTATTAT